GGGATCTTCCCGGACCGGGGCACGAACCCGTGTCCCCTGCATCAGCAGGCGGACTCTCAACCACTGTGCCACCAGGGAAGCCCCTCATTTTAATTTAATTGGGGGAGACACTGTTATGAGGAAACAAAGCAATTTTGCTTTCCTGAAATAAAGCAGTCTGGAATGTGCTGTCAATCATTAATGTTCACTGATTCAACAGAAATTTTTACTAGTGTTTCGTAATCATTTAAATGATCCTCTAGAAAAGCTACATTAATTATCAAAATGTTACCAAACTCTGTATCGTAGAGGATTAATTTATAGAAATCCTCTGTAGAGAAATGCTAAAAAAAATCATTTTAATAGTTTAAATAAAAGGAATAATAGGTTAAATAAAAGGAATTAATAATCTGACAACAATACTACAACATTAAACAATTTTCTCATCATGCCATTCTATTTTTTGACAAGAAAACATATTTCATTATAAATGTTGTGAAATGGATATATACCTTCTCTGCAAGTTTACATTATGGGTAAATTATACATATTGCCACAGTTTTGTTAGTCAGCCTACAAGATGGCCCTCAGTAATCCCCTCCTCCTGGCATTCACAGCCTGTATATTCCTCTCCCACACCGTATCTGGGTTGGTCTGTGTGACCAATAGAATATGACAGAAGTGATGGTACGTCATTTCCAAGATTAGGTTATAAAAGATACTGTGGCTGCCATCTTGATTTCTCTCTCTTGGATTATTTACTCTGGGAAAAGTCAGCTGCCTTTTTGTGAACAATCATCTGCAGAGGACCATGTGGCAAGTAACAGGCCTCCAACAGCTGGTGAAGAACTGAATGAAGTCTCCTGCCAAGAGGCACATTAATGAGTTTAGAAGTGGATCCTCCAGCTCCAGTCAAGCCTTCAGATGGCTACAGCCCCAGCCTACCCCTTGACTATACTCTTGTGGGAGACCCGGAGCCAGAACCACCAGCCAAGCCATTAATGGACCCCTGACCCTCAGAAACCATGACATAATATTTGTTGTTTTAAGTTGCTAAGTTTTGAGACAGTTTGTTACACAGTACTAGATAACTAATACAACAAAGAGTCTAAAACTGAGAAAAACTAAGAGAAATTAATCACTAAAAAAAAAAGCGAATTAAATGGAAGAAAAAAATGGCACCCTCCATTCCCAGTGATGTTATAAAAGACTCCTGCTTTCACAATCTTGAAAAATGTTCTTTTTAATAGTTCCATTTCATCTTTATAAAGAAATTTAAAAAACCCAGTGAGAAGACTATAAACTTGTTAGCCTTTAATTCCAAGTGAGAATCACAGCAACAATTTTTTGAATTAAAAGAAAAAGATAAATGCTTAGTTGAGCTCATTGTAAATACATGGTAGTAAACACCTTTAACAGAAGTACATTTTAAAATGGATGTTGCTGTTTTGTACACTGTTTCTGGGGTAAGAATATCCTAGCTTTTAATCCTTCAGATTCTTCATTTGGATTAACATTATCTTTCTGATTGCCTAGGCAGAAAATATATCAGTTTGGGATATCTATCCCCTTGTCAATAAATCAAAGTATTATCCCAGGGGCAGCCTTAACATGATAAAAGCCATCTGAAGACACAATGGTGTTCTGAAGACACAGGGAGAACACGATTTGAAGATGGGAGGTTGGAGTGATGCATCTATAAGCCAAGAAGCCTGGCTACTACCAGAAGGTGGACAAAGCAAATAAGGAACCTCCTCCAGAAGCTTCAGAGGAAGCATGGCACTGCCAACACCTTGGTTTCATACTTCTCGCTTCCAGAACTGTGACAGAATACATTTCTGTTGTTTTAAGCCATCCAATTTGTGGTACTTTGTTACAGCAGCTCCAGGAAGCTAATACAGTTGCCACTGTGTGGATACCTAATGGTGAATAAACAGATATGTTCCTGCCCTTGTGGCGATCCCAGACTAATGGAAAGAGAGCACCATTCACAAGTCAAAAAACGAACAAAAACATACTTACAAATTTGGTGACCCAGTTATGAAAGGGAATAAGGTTGCAGTAGTGGGTCACAGA